CCATCACCCTGAGCTGGCGTGCCCACCCTGGGGCTGGCAGCAGCAGCTCCTGGGCAGGAATGGGCCCATCATTCACCTGTATCACCTGCTCTGCAAAACACTTACTACAAAACTTCACCTTGTCCCTTCCCCAGGGGCCTGCCCCACTGCTGGGGGCACCTGCCTTCTGGGGTGAGGCTGTGAAACTCGCACACGCGCGTGTGACTCACCCTTGGGCTTCCCAGAATGGTGCTGCTTGCTGGCATTCAGCATGGCCTGCTTCTTCTGCACCTCTGTGATTGAAAAGCCTTGAAGGTAGAAGAGAGTTTGTCAGCAGCAGGTCATCGTTAAGGGGACTGTGGGGGTAGGAAAATGTCTGAGTGAGGATTACTCCCAGAGCTGGAAGGGGCACACGCTGCTCCCTCAGCCTGTGCTGCACAGCTCTCCCTACCTCCCATGCAAGGTTTACTGCCCACTCTTCCCTCCATGACTTGCTGGGTGAAGAAGCCAGTGCAGACCAGCCATGCTTCAAATCTCATTAGATCACAAAAGTCTGAATTAAGCAGGATTTGGAGAAGACAATGAAAACCCTCTCACAGGGAGGACCCTTGACTGATCATGTTTTGTATGGGCAGTGCCACATTTGGCACTTGCACTGTACTGCAAACTAACATAGTGACTGTTTTGTCAGCCCTGCCTGAACTCCTAAAGACACATCAGCCTCCCTGAGGACACACTCAGTGTCTGCTCAGGGTGGTTTGCAGGTTTGGTTTTGGTTTTTATTCAGTGGCACAGACTCAGAACGTGCAGCTCAGCAGCCCAGGGCTGGACTGGAGCAGGGACTGGCTTCCCCGCCCTTTCACTCAGCACTGGATGGTGGTTTTAAAAACAAGAAAAGCAAAAAAACCCCACAAACCACCACCCAACCCAACCCATGCACCCCGTGTCCCACAGCAGTGCCCTTTCCACACCTGTCTCCTGGTCGAGCTGGACCTGTCTCCGTTCGTTCTCGAAGGCCTTCAGCCAGCGCTGCTTCTGCTCGGGCTTCCTGGCGCAGAAGACGTGCACCTCCCCCGCGCCCCGGGCCCGCAGCCTGAACGCGTTCTTCACGCTGACGTTGAAGTCCTTGTCCTTCCCATCCTCCACATCCAGGATTTCCATCTCGTCCATGTTGATCCGGCTCTTGTAGTACAAGATGTCCCTGCGCAGGAGGTCCTGCAGGAGAGAGCACAGGCACCGGCTGCCTCTGTGTCTGCTCCCTTCCTGAGCGCTCGCTTTCCCTGGTGGGGTGGAGTAATTAACCCTGGCAGTCACTGCACGCCAGCGAGAGCAAACTGATCCTGACTGTGGGGCCATGAACTGCCGTGCCAAGCGCTGGTTGACACCACGGGGCTGCTTCTGGTGGCAGGGCCTGGGTGGGCTGGCATCTGCTGTGGGACACCAGCTGCCCTGGAGAGCTCCTAATGAGAAGCAGGCTTGTGTAGTTACACATCAGCCCAAATCCTCATGAAGCCTGTGTCAGAAAATAGTATTTGAATCCTAGAGTCCCAGTCAGAAAGCAAAGAGAAATCCCTCATTAGGTTTTGGTTTTTTTGTGTTGACAATGACAAGTGACTCCGAGCTCAGCACTAAACCAGCAAGGGGCTGAGAGAACCAGGCGTGTGTAGTTACACATCAGCCCAAATCCTCATGAAGCCTGTGTCAGAAAATAGTATTTGAATCCTAGAGTCCCAGTCAGAAAGCAAAGGAAAAAATCCCTCATTAGGTTTTGTTTTTTTGTGTTGACAATGAAAAGTGGCTCTGAGTGCAGCACTAAACCAGCGAGGGGCTGATGCCCAGGCTCCCTGGAGCTGCCCGTGTGCCGTGGATTATGCAGAAACATTTGGCACGTTCAGGTCTGCAGTTCCACTGGGTGATGCCTTTCACTTGCTCTGTGACAGATGTCTGTTGTTGCTTAGCTTATGAAAAGCAGGCTGGGCTGTGTGTACAGCCTAACAGATGCTGTTACTACAGCCTAACCGACTGCCAGGGCCCACAGCCTTCATGCCAGCTGTGGGTACCTGCTGCACAGGACAGTAACCACACATGGAGGTGCAGCTGAAGGAAATACATTAAGAGACAGTGGCTGACAGGCCCTGTACTTGGGCTGTATGAAATGACCCCCACTAACCCCAGCAGCCGTGCAGCGCTGCCTTCTCTTGCTCTAGGAATGAGGCCAGAGCTGGTTCCTGTAGTTTAGTGCTGTGGTCAGGTGCACAGGACACACCACAACGTCAGAGGGAAGTCTCCAACAAACACCCATAAATAAGCTGTGCTAGAAGCAGGGATGCTGCCAGCGAGGACTAAGGAGACCAAGGGGCAGGGTTCACCCAGCTCCTCTGGCACGGCACCGGGGCGCGGCTGTGCCTGGGCAGGGCTGGTACCTTCTTGCAGCAGACAAGCTGGTGATCGAAGAGGAAGAACATCCTCTGCTGGCTCTTGGCTTGAGGGTGGGAGATTTTGGTTAATTCCCCGGAGTAGATGAGCTCTGAGCTTCTGACTAGGACATCTTCACCCTGAGAACAGCACAGAGAACAGGGTGGTCTCAGCCACCTGAGAACAGAAGAAAAATCCTCCCAGGAGAACCTCAGCTTGGCTGAGGGGCATGTGTGGCCCGAGTCCCTGCTGAGGGAGCTCTTGTGGGAATGAGCAGGAGCTTCTCTGCTGAAGGACAGTCCTTGTCACATCAGGGGGACACTGGGCCCTTGGCACCAGGGAACAACAGAAGAGCAGCAATGTGGTAAATAAAAAAAAAAAAACAATAAAAAATCTCCTTTTCCAGGGTCAGCTCAGGGCAGCTGGTTCATCCCTGGCCTTACAGAGACACATAAGGAGTGAGCTGAGAATTTAGCCTGGCATCCCTGGGGAGGGAAACAATCTGCTTTTAGTGAGTCTAGGATTTAAAAAATTAGTAGTTTTATTTCTTTTATTTAGCAATTTTTTTTTTCATGAGTCTACAGGGAACCTTTGTCACTGTATCAGAGCTTGCCTTTCTGCAACAGTAACGTGGCTTATTCAGCGTTGAGGGGCAACTCTGCTCATCCTGAGAGCTTGAAACCAAGATAGAACAATAGGAAACAGGAGAACTGTAGGATTTCACTGACCTACATGCTAATTTATTCTGCAAGGAAAAGGGAGAAGCAGAACTCCCAGGGACCATGCAGAGCTGGGTCATGTGTTAGACCTTTTCACTTGTACTACAAGATCACATCTGTTAAAATTTTTAAAAAATGTAGACTAAAGAGGGGCAGCAGAACTGAGCTATGGCTCCAGAGCGACCCTCAGGAGCTCAGGAGGTGCTGTGGGCAGAAGCTGGGGGTGGGGGAGGAGAGGCCAGCACAGACCATGCAGCTGGTGGGGAAGGTCTCCTACCTCCCAGTCTTCTATTGAACTCTGCCACTGGGCAATCTTGTCGATGTTCTCCAGGCGCCGCTTCCTCTCGTTGATGAGCCGGGCAACGTTCTTCATGGCGTTTAAGGCAGCTTCAACATCTTTGAAATCCCTGGGGGGGCAGAGGTGTGAGGCACAGCGACACGTGGGGGGTACCTGTGCTCCACGGGAGGGCAGGCCAGCCTGCCTAGGGCTGCAGCAGCAAACCTGAGCTCACGGGCAGCTCTGGCCCAGCTGCTCCACACTGGCTCCTCTCTGTGGGCAGCTGCTGGCTCTGAGGCACAGACAGAGTCTCCTAACAAACCCAGGCCAGATTTAGGGAAGGGAAGGGGGTAAGCAGATGGGAGTTGCTGGAAGAATCTCCAGGGCTTTACAAGTTTTGTTTGGGTTTTTTTTCCACAACATACTACAATAGATTCATAGTCCCCATACAAGGACTGATGCTGTCATGCAGAGGTGAGGCAGTTCAGCAGTTCTTAGCTTAGTTCTTGGCTTAGTTCTGGCTAGGAGCTGCTGGTTTAGCTGGGAGGGTGGGACAGAAGCTGATCTACCCTCCCCCACGCACCATCTGCTGCCACCAGCTACTTCTGCTGAGTTTAGAGTAGCCAGGACAGTGGTTGTGCACGACTTGTGTCTAATGCAATTCTCAAAACATCTGTGTGCTGCATGAAGGAGCCTTCTGCTGAGAGGTCAGCTGCAGGACAGTGTGCTTACAGAGTTAATAAGACATGCTTAACACTGTTCTGAGCAACACCAGTGCTGTAATTAGGAAGGCACAATTAAGTCAAGCCACAGTGAACCACACTTAAACTCTGTGCTGGTGTCACAGATAGGTGGGCCAAACAAAATGGAAAAGTACCACTATAATGTGGACCTCAGAATCATAGAATCATTAAGGTTGGGCAAGACCTCCAAGATCAAGTCCAACCACCAACCCAACACTGACCATTAAACCATGGAATCCCCACGGTTGGAAAGAACCACTAGGATCATCAAGTCCAACAGTCAACCCAACATTTCCCAACCACTAGACCATAGCCTCAAGTGCTGCATCTGCTCGTGCTTTGAACACCTCCAGGGACGGAGACCTTGCAACTACAAATCTGTGACAGACAGGAAAGCTCAGTGCTACTGTAATGAAAAATTATGTATTTGACAGAAAAAATACTCTTCTTCCCCTGGTGTTGCACGTGACACAGAGGCCTCCTGGCACGGGCTGCCCTCGGGAGGGTGTGCCCAGCACACAGCCCTGCAGCCCGTGAGGCGGTGCCAGCCCTGCCCACCTGTGCTGGGGGTTGGTGTACTTGAGCAGCTCTGCCAGCTGCAGGGGGTACTTGCAGATCTTCTGCACGGGCGTGAGCAGGAAGCCGTCCAGCGAGATGTCGATCATGCGCTGCAGCAGGCGGCAGGCCTCGAAGAAGTACACGTACTTGCTGAGCTTGGCCAGGCGCGACAGCTCCGAGCAGGCGTTGGGGTGGTTGTTGCAGTACTCGGAGTAGATCTGGAACTCGGTTTGCTGCAGGGGAAGGGGGGGTCAGGGGGCAGCCGGGCTGGAACCGCCAGCGGGGCCTGGCGGGGAGCGGCGCTCAGAGCCTGAGCCGCTGAAAAGCCCCTTCATAGAATCATAGAATCA